AGCGCGGTCAAGGGAAGGATTGTTTCTTCGTGGCCGCTTGGGATTCGGGCGCGGCCGCCTGAGGCGAGCATGGCGTGCCCCATCAACTGCCACTGCGACTATGGCGTGTCTGGCATCTTTTTGGTCAGAGGCCTCCAAGACTGCCCCAAAACCGCCCAAGAGGCCCCCAAGAGGGCCCAAGACGGCCCAAGAGAGGCCCAAGACGGCCCAAAAGGCGCCCAAGACGGCCCAAAAGAGCCCCAAGACGGTTCCAAGAGAGGCCCAAGAGAGGGGCCACGAACCGAAAATTCCAGCTTTCCGCCCTAAGAGGCCCACAGAAGGCCCCAAGAAACCGCCAAGAGGCCTCCGTAGCCATTTTGGCTCAAGCAATTTTGGCTCAAGCGTGGCTCGACAGCTCCGACTTTTGGGTTCGTGCTCCCCGCGCGCTTCGGTACTGGGCGCGGCCGCCTGAGGCGAGCATGGCGTGCCCCATCAACTGCCACTGCGACTATGGCGTGTCTGGCATCTTGTTGGGCAGAGGCCTCCAAGACTGCCCCAAAACCGCCCAAGAGGCCCCCAAGAGGGCCCAAGACGGCCCAAGAGAGGCCCAAGACGGCCCAAGAGGCGCCCAAGACGGCCCAAAAGAGCCCCAAGACGGTTCCAAGAGAGGCCCAAGAAAGGTGCCACGAACCGAAAATTCCAGCTTTCCGCCCTATATTTGGGCGACTCGGGGGCCCTCTTGGGCCGACTTGGTGGCTGGGCGGGGCCCTCTTGGCCCGTTTTGGCGCCCTCTTGGGTCCGAAACAGTCACGCGACAAGACGCGGGTGTGCCCAGGGGTACGGCGCCAAGCCCCGGGAGATTTGAGAATTTGGGGTTCTGGTCCCTTAAGGACTCCTAGCGACGGATTGGGAGGTTCTAGCGAAGTCCTTGGAATTTCACGCGCCCCGATTCCCTGCGTCCGGCCCTTGACTGGGGCACCGTGCGCGGCAGTGGATGGCAAGTGCAGCTGCGGGATCGCGATCAATGGAGACGGGTGCGCGATCCATCGGGATTGGTGGCCTTTGCTAGAGTGCACGTGGCAGGCAAGACAGCGAAGCGCAAGCTGCGAGTTTCTGTTTCCAGAATGCTTGACGTTGTTGCGACCGCCATCTTGACGTCCGCGAGAGCGCAGCGTCTCCCTCCGGCCCAGAAGCGCCCAGAAGCGCGCGCCCACAAACGCGCGTTCCCTCAACTATATACAGAAACTCCCGATCAACCGCAGAGCGGTCGTTACTCGTAAAGAGAGAGAGAGAGAGAGAGAGAGAAAAAAAAAGAAACAAAGAGGACGGGAGAAAGAGAGAGAGAGAGAGAGAGAAACATAACAAAAAATATAGCGAGAGAGCGAGAGAGAGAGAGAGAAGCAACTATCCTGGCGAAAGACCCAACCATATGCAATTGTGGGTACGTGTCTTCACTTCCCCGCTTTCCTGCTCGTTTCTTGTACTTGCCTGGCCCGCTTTTCTTTGTCGGCCTGCCCCGCGGTCCGAGTAAGGGTTGCGGCGCTGCCTGCTGAGTGTCTTCGTGTTTGGCCCAGCTTCACATGTTCACGCAAAAGCATTGTGAATAGTTTCTTCGGCGAAGCTCCCTATGGGGCCACGAAGTGCTGCACTGGGTGGTGGGGACGCATGCGGACGGTACCACTGGGGCCATCGGTGGAGCTCCCTATGGGGCCACGAAGCCTTGTACAGGGCGGGCGAACATGCCAAATTGGGCGTGTGGGACGCATGCGGGCGGTCCCACTGGGGGCTTCGGTGAAGCTCCCTATGGGGCCACGAGGCGTTGCACTGGGTGGGGGGGGAACGCATGCGGGCGGTAGCACTGGGGCCGTCGGCGGAGCCCCCTAGGGGGCCACGAAACGCAATACTGGGCGGGTGAAAATGCCAAATTGAGTGTGTGGGACGCACGCGGGCGGTCCCACTGGGGGCTTCGGTGGAGCTTCCTATGAGGCCGCGAAGCGCTGTGCTGGGGAGGCGGAAGTGCCGAATTGGGCGTCCGGGACGCATGCGGACGGTCCCACTGGGGGATTCGCTGCAGCTCCCTCTGGGGCCACGAAGTGCTGTACTGGGGGGGGGGGGGGCGCATGCGGACGGTAGCGCTGGGTCCTTCGGTGGGGCTCCCTATGGGGCCACGAAGCGCTGTACTGGGTGGGGGGACGCATGCGGACGCGAGCATTGGGACCTTCGGTGGGGCTCCCTATGCGGCCACGAAGCGCTGTACTGGGGGGGGGGACGCACGCGGACGGTAGCACTGGGACCTTCGGTGGGGCTCCCTATGGGGCCACGAAGCGCTGTACTGGGGGGGGGGGGCATGCGGACGGCAGCACTGGGACCGTCGGTGGGGCTCCCTCTGGGACCACGAAACGTGTGAGGGGTGTGCTGGAACGGGTGCTGATAATGGTGATGGAAGAGGGAAGAGGGGGAGGAGGAGGAGGAGGAGGAGGAGGAGGAGGAGGAGGAGGAGGAGGAGGAGGAGGAGGAGGAGAACGCGGGGACAGTTATTTCAAAATGAGGACTGGTAAAATAAAGAAATAGACAGAGATATTGAGAAAGAGATAAAGAGAGGGAGAGAAAGAGAGACAGAGAGAGAGAGAGAACGAAGAACGGACAACCACCCAAAACACCCGGGAACCTCAAGACGAGGAGTCGGCTTCGTCGGCCTTAGGCCGCTTCTGTCCACCGAATTCCTACGAAAGGAAGGCGAAACACTGAGGCTGGCCCCTCCCCGCCTGCAAACATTACGTGTAGCATCGATGATTTGTGGACGCTAGGGCCCTATGTGTTTGCTCATCGACTAAGCGCATCACGTGCTCGCAATGCTACGTTATATGGCGTTCGTGCGTACTCAAACAAATTGGCATGTATGCTACATTGCACCGTGCCGCGCAGCCGCTCTCTCAATCACTCGAGCGAGCAGAGAAATCCTCAGCGTACAAGTCGAGGACGGGTGAAGTGGGCATTGGCCGGCTCGCCGAACGGGCCCCGCTGGTCGAGTGTTTATCACAAATCCCACATTAAAACTCTCGACTGGTACAACGGCGCGCGATACCCCAAATGACCGTGATATCTCGAATGATGTTCGAGACCGAGAGGGCCCAATCAGAAACGCTGCACGCAATGGCAGGATGGCGTCAAGCATGCGAGTCCTGGCCGCGGCAGGAACCTGTCCCAGGGAGCCAGCGGGGTAGCGGCGACGAGTGGGGCGGGCGGGTAGCGGCCTGGTGGGAATAGTTTATCATGAATTTCTAGATACCCTCCATGCTGCAACATGGAATGAAGAGAAAGTGTGACCACCTTGAGCACGCCGAGAAACTATATGATTCCGCAGCTTCTGACCAGCCGTTAGAACTATGAAATGGAAAACAAACTTACACTTGAGAAAACCCCAATCGCTGAAGGATTTGAAGATGGTACAATGGATCTTGAGATCGATTGTGAGATCGATATTGAGATCGATAGTGGAACCGATCGTGAGGACGATTGTAAGTTCGATCGTGAGACCGGGAGTGAAATCGAATCAATGAGATGGATAGCGAGATCAATCGCGAGATCATTCATGCGATCACTAGTGAGATCGCTTGTGAAATCTATAATGAAATCGATTGTGAGATCGCTGGTGAGATCGATAGAGAAGTGGGTAATGAGATCGATGGTGAGACCGATGGGTAAGAAGATCGACCAAGGACCCGGGAACCCGGGAACCTCGCCGCCCTCCGAAATCGGCCCGGCATCCGGAACCGGGAGTCCGGGAACCCAGAACCGGGAACCCGGTTGGGCCAGCAACCAAAATCGGTGGGAAACCTCCGCCAAATCCTTCAACATCCGCGAGGACCCCTTCAGTGCAAGCACTGATTGGGGAACTTGATATTGTCAAACCCTTTGTAGCCAGCGTATCACGAGCTCGGGCGCTTCCTTTCTCAGCCTGTCTATGGAGTCCGTCGGCATTGACTGCCAAATATATAATATCTGCTGGCGCTCGCGAAGCTAGTTCTGAATGGCCCTCTCCAGTGCTGTCGGCGGCGCGGATCCCTGGATGGCCTTCCCTCCCAGGTGCACCGGCGCTTGATGTACTGCTTGCCGAAACTGCTGGATGCTAATATGTAGCGGCTTGAGCGGCGGTAGAGCTCCCTCCCGGCCTTGGTTCTGCTCCCTCAAGCGGCTGATGCCTGCGATCAATCTTTCGTCCGTGAATGGGCTGCCTGCGAGAGCGTTGTGCATGATCTGCCTTTTGTATTCTTGGGCTGGCCCTTCTCTGAGTTGGCTGTTTTGATGCGAAAATACAAGATCATGTCTCAGACGGGCAGGCGCGACATGCTGTTCACCAAAGGCTCGAAAGTGGCGAGGATCTCTTTCGATGGGCTCGGAAAGTTCGATTGTCCAAAGCCCTTTTAAGAAGGCGGCAACGATATGTATATGAGGGCTGCCGAAATCCTTCTTCCCTGTTTTGATCTTCTCCGCGTAGGCCGTCCTCATGTCGATCCCCTGCTCCGATGCTGGCACCTCTGGAATCAAATAGAAGTCCCAGATCGACCTTGCTAAGTGACGAGCCATCTGCACGTTGTTGAGAGGAGGGGGAGGAGGGGGCGGAGGAGGAGGAAGAGGAGCCAGAGGGAATAGAACTAAGGATACATGATGAGCCGGGCGAAGGAAGAGGCTAGGAAAGGCAGGAAGAGTTGCAGCAGTGAGGAACGAGAAGCAGGAGGAGGGAGGCGCGAGAACCGGGACGGGGACGAGGACGAGCAGCCAGGAGGAGGGAGCAGGAGGAAGGGGCCGGGTAGGGAGGCGCGAGCAGTGAGCAGGAGGGCGGGGCACAACAATAGCAGAAGCAGCACAAGCGGGGGGGGGCGATTGGGACTCTCGGCATGGCGGGTCCGCCCGCGTGGCGGCGGCGTCATCTTCGGTTGTCGTCGTCGTCGTCGTCGTCGTCGTCGTCGTCGTCGTCGTCGTCGTCGTCGTCGTCGTTCGCGCCGGCATCCGGGGGGGGCCTTCGCGGCCAGCATCTGGAAGGCCGCGGCCACCTCTGCGGGCGGATGCGCGTGGCCCCCAACTCCCCCGACGGCGCAAACGGTGCGTCCGCGACAATAGGCCTCCAGAGATCTCGACCCCTTCCCGGAGACCCGATCTTCGTCTCGAGTCGTTTTCTGACGGCCCCAGGGCCGGGACCCTCCGTCTGGTCGCCGACGGCGTAGAACCCCACTGGCAATCGCAATTCTGCTTGCGACGCTCGAGCCTGAGGGGAGAGGGAGAGCTGGTACGGGAAGGGCGCCCGTGCACCGTGCTATTGCCTGGACTGCCCTCAGGCCCCGCTCCAACGCGGCATGGTGCTTAGTTTTTCGACCGTGTGGGGGCCGAGCGACTATGTAGTATGCTCGGCGGCCAGCCCAGGGGGGGAGCGGGAGGATGCGGGCCTTCTCGGAAGGTTCGGAAGTCCTCCGGCCTTCTGAAAAAACATTGCCCGAAGACGCAGAGCACGTTTCAGCAGGCCGGTGGGCTTCTGAGAGGCCCCTCCGCCTTCCGAGAAGGCCTTTTCCTTCTCACCTCCCTCCCACGCTCGCCGCCGATATGCACCGTTCCACTCCTGGGTCGAGGACCCACAACGCCTCGCGGCACGGTGCACACAAGGCGCCCGCGGAGCCGAGGCCTCCCCGAGCGCCTCGGGGGAGGAGCGGCTCGCGGGCGGCGCTCCTCGCGCCGAGAGTCCGGCGCCCCCGGAAGGCGGAGGGGCCCGCCCGTCTCGGGCAGCCGCACACGGGGCGGCGATCCTCGGCGCGACTCCCCGGAGAGCTCCAGGTGCCCACGGCGCGACAGACACCATGCTGTCGGAGGTCTGCGGAGGTGCAGTCGATCCTCGAGGGGGGTGGATCGGGATCGTGGGGGAGGGGGAATGCAGGGGAGAGAGGGAGGGGGTGACAGGCAGGGGAGGGCGGGGGCAGGGGGGGCAGGAGGACGGGAGAGGCGCAGGGGGTGCGGGAGGAGAGGACGGGGCGGCGGGAGGGCCAGTGCGAGGGGTAGGGGCGGGAGGGGGTAAGAAGCGGGCTGGGCAGGTACGGGGGGGAGGCGGGAGGAAAAACGAGAGGGAAAGACGCAGACGATAACGACGACATCGATCGAGCCGACGACGACAGCCAACGACGATGGTGGCCGAGCCGACGACGACGACGACGACGACGACGACGACGACGACGACGACGACGACGACGACGACGACGACGACGACGACGACAGCGACGACAGCGACGACGAAAACGGAATCAGAGATCACCGACGACGGCGGCAACGACGAGAAGGCTGACACCGCAGAATGCTGCTGACGACGATGACGACGACAACGAAGACGACGGTGACGACAACGACGGCGACAATGACGAACACGACGACCAATTACCGACCCGACGGGGACTGACGACGACGAGGACGACGAGGGCGGCGATGACGACGCCGAAAACAAAACAGTGACGACGAGGGCAACGGCGACAACGACGGCGCCTTCCACGACGGCGGCGACGACAGCGACGCTCCCGGCGCCGCCGACGCGCGGCGGGCGCCCGCCTGTGCCGAGCCGCCGCTCAGGTCGACGCGGCGCGGGGCACCGCTGCCGTCGTTCTGCTGCACTTGGATCTGGCGGGCGCGGCGGCGGCGGCCGACTTGCGGCCGACTCGCGCGTCACCCCCCCCCGCGGGTCGGAAACACGCTCTCTCGCTCGTGGCGTGGGCTGTGACAGCCCATGGGCGTGCAAATTGGCACATCAACTCAACTATGAGAGCAAACATGGCGCACTGCGCATCGCCATGTAAAGGCGTCACTCTCTGCATCGTGAAGCTGGCTGATATCCCCAGCCTGACGGATTGCGTCGGGCAGCGCATTTCGGACCCATTCCTTCCTGAGTGCTCCGCGGGCCGGAAGCGGAATAAAGGAAACATGATTTCGGCGACAACACGGGTCATCCGCAGGGGGGGGAGGTAGGGGAAGGGGAGGTGCCGGCCGAGAACCTAACCATTTTTCGCTCTGGGCAGCCCACCGATGAGATCGGAGGCCCCACCCCCCGTTACAAGCAGCCTAGAGCTCCTTTGGGAAACTATGTCTCGATCCGCACCCTCGCCTGGAGCACACCTGCAATGGCGCCGCGCAAACCGCGCCTTCACTCCTGGCTGCGCGCACGCGTGAACCTTTCGATCATCTCCGCGAAGTTCGCTCACCGATCACGTCTGTCCCCCTCCCCGGGTGGAGTTCAATGCCCTTGTGGCTGCGCGCCCTGCCACGGCGACGCGGCCCCCCGACCCCACGGCGGCGTCCAGTTGAGAACGGATTTCTTTAGAACGCCTGCTTTTCAACAGTCCTCCCCGAATCCGCCTGTGGAATCATACCGGATACAATGTTTTACACAGGCGAATCTGCATTACGTGTTCGTCTCCGAACAGCGAACATTTAATGCATGCGCGTTTCGGCGGCGAGCAAGGGTGGGAAGCAAGAAGGAAAAGGCCTTCTCAGAATACGGCGGGGCCTCTCAGAAAAGGCTTCCAACCTTCTGACAGGTGTTTTGCGTTTTCGGGGAAGGCCTCTTTTTACAAAAAAACACCCCCTTGGCAATTGAGGTTTAGTGTCGACGGCGGTTGGGGCCATGTCCCAAGCAGCTTTCTTTTCCTGCTAATTCAAATCCACCGATCCCATCAAGAAAAGGCATGAACCTTAAGAATTACAAAACTACGAGAACAAAAACCGTCGGGACATTTTCAAGCCTGCGCTCAGCAAAGGCCGGCCGTGCATGACAGAGCGTTGACCCAAACAGTGGGCGGACTCTCTTCTCAATCCGCCAGGCTTCAGCGATCGATCGACGGCGGCGGGCGGTGGCTCAGAGTCTGGCGTGAATCTGCTGAGACGCATTGCCAGCAACAGACAACTTGCGACGGCGGCAGTTGTGAGCGAATCAACAAGCATCAAGAAGAGCAGCAGTGATCAGCAGCACCGAACGGGGCCTCCCTTCAGTCGGGAGAAGGGAGAAAAAAAACAGGGAGGATCCTCATAATGGGGGCATCAGATCGGCTAGCCGATGTCCCCACGACCAGTAGAATCGAGAGCAACGAGCATAGTGAGCAATCTCATCGAGGTCAGCAAGTTTGGGAACGTGGGAGTCAGAGCAACATCCGCAGATACAACCATGATATTGCTTAAAGAATCTGGCAGAGGTATTCACACCGCGAGCAAGAATACGCAAAACAATTAGGACAAAGTAAGGTCACGCTTTTCCGATCACAAAACGCACGGCTTTGGCAAAGTGGTAGGCAGCAATATCAGGAACATCCCCCATCCACCTCCTCATCCGTAGAAGTAAATCGGCTGACGCATCGTGCGCAAACTGAGCCAGAAACGCCAGCAAGCGACACACTGCAGCCTGGAAGGTCGTTCCATCCACAGGAATACCTTTCGGCGAAGCAATGGCTGTTCCCCTCGCACTTCGGAAAATGCGAAGAAAAGCAGGCGCAAAGCTAAGGCACGCCCAGCCAGACATGGCACGTGCAACACATGCTTCATGACTCTTGAAAGTGCACTCCAACTCTTCAAGACACTCCCTAATCACCGAACATCTCGAGGCCGAACTAAATTTCGTCGCCCGAGAGACCACCTCCAGATTCTTGAGATGGTCCAGGAACCCGAGAGAACTCAGATTCGTCAACGTCTCATAGTTAAACTTGAATATCGGACCAACTACGAGAAGCTGCAACACGTTCGTATAGGCAAAAGGTGACTGAGCGCGAGTGGGGGGCGAACTGCGTGACAAACGACAGCATGCTAAGGCACAGCGCGTGGAAAGTCGAAGTATTCTTAGCGAGCGTGAATCCAGCTTGCCGCGCCCCTCGCACTCGCGGGCCGAACTTCGCGACGGGCTGGCCCAAATTGCAGTCGGGCGCCGAACGACCAATCAGCGCGCCACGGTATTTACCCGCCGTGACAATATGTACATTCGCACGCCCAGGCATGTGCGCGGCAACAAAAATCCTGAGCCTCGCTCGAGACATCTCCGAACTCACTAACACCGCGCACTTGTGGATGTTCAGACCGTGGCAAACAACGCCTTCAAGTGTGCGACCAGCTTGAGAAAGCTCGCCTAAGTGGGGTAGCCGTCTGGCGATGGCCATATAGACAATCACCAGCATGCCCCCATTCAAGTCGCAGGCCTTCCCAACATCACTTACTGAAAGACGCCTGCAAAGGAGCCGCCCCCAACCCCGAAACATCATGGCACAGTCGAAGCCGGGCCCCCTTCCGCACCCCCCGAGCAATCACAATCGAACAACAAATCTGCCACGAAATCGCCATCAGAGCGGAGTTGTCAGAGTAGAACATGCGGTAAAACAAGACGGTGGAACTCGGCGCTCCCATGGCCTCCCAAGGCAGCCAGAAACCACGCAATCGATAACGAGGAGAAGGCGGCCGAGTAGTCCGTCAGGACCAGCGAGCTATCCCAAGTGCCGAGCACGTGATCGGAGAGCGCCCACGCCTCCGCACGGGCGGCATGCGCAGTCACACTGCGACCGGTGATACTCGACTGGTGCCAAACTCATCCAGTGCCAAACTCATCCGATGCCAAACTCATCTGGTGCCAAATTCATCCGGTGCCAAGCTCGTCCAGTGCGAAACTAATCCGGTGCCGAACTCATCCCAAACCAAACTCATCTGGTGCCAAACTCATCTGGTGCCAAAGTCATTCGGTGCCAAACTCATCTGGTGCCAACCTCATCCAGTGCCAAGCTCTATTTAATCGGGGCTATCTCATCCAGTGAGTAACTCATCTGGGCTACATCTGGTGACTGATTCATCCAGTCTAATTCATCTGGTCGCGGTGCACCTGAAACGGGGATCGGATGAGGCGCAACGGATGAGTCGCCATCGGATGAACCTGCCAGTCTCCCTAAACGCGACGATGCTTGCCTGGCTAGGCTCCCACTCCGATGAAGAGCCGTGCCCATCCTTCTGGTCCCGATCCAACTCCACATTTCCACCTTTCTCGCCGGCTGGGTGAAGCCGTCTTCGAGGACCGCATATCGAGGTCAGCCCACTTCTCGCTTGGCGGCGTGGGAAGCGAGGTAACCTCCACGCTCTATGCGCCCCCACGAAAAAGCGAACCGTCCCCTCCACCCCTCTGGAAATCAAGGGTAGTCATACCACGTCCAACTACAATCGACGCCTGGTTCGTGAGCCCAAGAATGAATCCCGCGTAAAGCAAGAAGCAGACAGATCGGTGAAGCGTGCAAGAACCAAGGCAAGAGAGAAGGCGAGAGGACGGGAGACCCGTCCTCGTCGTCGTCACCATCCCGATATCCTCTCTTCTTCCCTCATGTGCTCCCTCCACGATCCAAGAGCAGAAGAAGCAAGCGAGCGAGGCAAGACCAAAGGGGCGGACTCGGCCGGACTGCCAGGCTCGCCATCGCTCGGACGTCCACTCCCCGTGCATGCTTCGATGATGTGCGTGCCGTTTTTCGCAGGATGATCCGGGATGCCCTTCGATGGTCCTCGCCTAAACCTTAAACAATATGCGCACGTGCGAGCGATGCCAAGCAGGGTGGGGGTCCTTAACGCCCGTCGTCTCGCGGATCTGGCGAAGACCCGCTCCGCCCTTGCCGATGACCTCCCGCCGGAGGGGGGGGCAGGAGAGCGGGAGGGGCGCGCGAAGCAGAGGCGCCGGAGCAGCGGCGGGGCTTTTGGTGCAGCCTCTGCACAACGTTTCTGTTTTGTTCTGCTGCGGACCTCGCGAACCCATGGGCGCCCTCTCCTTTTTGGTCGTTGTCGTTTCCTCTATCTCGCGGGGGCCCTTCTCTCCCATCCTTCTCGCTCTCTCTCTCTCTCTCTTTCTCTCCCTCTTCTTCCCCCTCCCTCATTCGGTCGGTCGCGTTCCTGCAATTTGTTGGGTTGTTGTCTTTTTCTATTTCTCTCTCTCTCTCTCTCTCATTATCTCCTCCTCCCTCGTTCACTCACTAACTCCCGCACTATTTCCCAGATGTTCCAACGGCCTCGTTGCGGCAAGACCCCGCCGTGACGACGTGGGCAATATGTTTTTTTGGCACGAAGCAGGAGTTCGAACGATATCTCTGCTCTCGGAGGCCCCCGAGAGGCCATCGGCCCCCCGTCCTTCGCCATCCCACCAGTCCTCTGGGCCAAAGTGGGCTATAGCCGGACCCAGGACAGAAATCCATCCTGCAAAACATGAGACCTTCCGCCAGCCCACACTGAAGAATATTCGAAGGTGCCCCCCCCTGAATGGACAATTATATCCAACAAGCACGAGGAGCACTAGGATACCCTCCTCGAACCGACCTCGATCTTATACCTCGTTCCGACACTAGCGAAACCTTCATTTCCTCTCCGAAAGTTTAGATCGGGTGCGCCCGAGACCTCTCGCACCCCCAGCAATCCCCGAAAAACTCAAACCGAATCTCGCCGAGAGAGAAAATCTCAAACCAGATCTCAAACCAAATCTTGCCGCGAGAGAAATCTCCTAACGGATCTCCGATGAAATCTTCCGAGACACTTTGGGGCCCAAGCAAAACTCAAACGAAATCTTGCCACCGATAAATCCCGAACGAAATCTCAAACGACATCGTGCCGCTGCCACATCCCAAACTAATTCTTAAACGAAATCTCGCCTCTTGCCAATCCCCAACAAGATCTCAAACGAATTCTTGGGCGACCAGAAACTCAAACGCAGTCTCCCCCAGAAACTGCCGGCCAAGCTTCGCGCCGCGCGCGACGCGGTGGTAAAGCACAACTTCATGGTGGTCGAGTGCTTTGCCTTTGGAAGAAGTGCGCATTGCGGCGCGGATGGGCATTCCCCGCCCCTCGATCGAGCGACTGCCTCGGCCGCGATGCTGGGCAGCGAACCTGGAGATCGGCGCCGCACCGCCCACCGACGGCCCTAGTTCACCAGGCGCGCTGGCACGCTTAGCGGCCACCGCGGGCACAGGCCTGCAGGTCACTACGTTGCGGGGCTCGCAACCACTATTCCCTGGGCGAACCGAATAAGAGCACCATGTCCGGCGCGCGCGTGCGAGAATCGCCTGCGCCCGCGCATGACCCAATCGGATTGGGTTCGGCGGTGCATTTTGGGCGGAGGCGTCTCGGGGCGGGGGAGAACAGCCCACTGCCCAATGCTAATAGGCATGCGCGTTACTTTTGAAACCGACTCTTGGAGGTAACAGCCCTAGCGGACGTTAACAAAGTTCCCCCCCCCCCTCCCTGGCTCCGAAGCGGTCCGGTGACGTGTTTTGTCTTGGGGGTAATTGCAGTTGGGGCTGCACGCGTGGTAACTTGCCATGGGCCCCTTCTTCGCCCTCCTGTTTAGCTTCCTCCTCTCCTCATGCTGCTTACTCAACTCCTCCACGACCTCTGGCTTCTCCTCGGTGACATCCGCGGGTACCTCAACGCTGAACGCTCCCGGTAAAGACTGCCCGAGTCCCTGAGGTTGTTCTCCTGCTGCCGCCCCAGCGGCCCCTGCTGCCCCCCCTGGGCCGGCGGTGGCCCCATTGGCCCCTCCGGGGCAGTTGGGGGCGACGCGCCCCTTACCGCCGCACTTAAAGCATGATCGCTCGCTGTGGGGCACCAACCCTTGGCCTCATTTACCTCCTCCTTTAGCTCCTCCGTTACCTCCTCCTGTATACCATCCTTGGTAACCTCCATTGCCGCCTTTGCCTCCTCCTGCATTTCCCCAGTAACTTTCCTGGCTTCCGCATCCCCCTGTGCCGCCCTGGCCGCCCGAGTAACCTTTGTAGTTGCTGTTGTAGTTGTACTAGTAACCTCCGTACTGGAATCCTTTACCGGCATTGCCTCCTCCGTTGGCCCCTCCCTGACTCTGACCTTCGGCAACTCCTCTGTTCGGGCAGTCGCGGCCGACGCGGCCTCTAACTCACAGGAGGTCCGGCGTAAAGGTGTTCCACGGGGACCACCATGAGGCCTCGCCGCCCACGGCGGGCTGCGACCTGCTAGACTGGAGCCTCTTTCGCGTGCTCGGGGGGTCGAACGAAGGGCGCCCCCAGGGCGCCGCCATGACGCATCGCCGCCCCTGGCGGGCAGCGGCTTGGAAACAGTCGCCAATGCCGTGGGCCCCTGGGAAGCCCAACGGGGGGCGCCCCACGCGCGCCAGCGTAGACCTCGCCATCCTTGGGGCGCCGCCATCTGCGACAACGCCGCCACTTACGTGGGCCCCGGCAAAAACTCCAACGAAATGGCCCCCTTCGGTGACCACCATGAGACGGTGCCGCCCCCTGGGGGGGCAAAAAACATAGGGGCGCGGGCGGGCGCGCGGCCGCGGGGCCCGCGGGCGGGCGGCGGCGTAAGCACCGCGGCCGCCTCGCCTGGGCGCCCCAGCAACTCCAATAAGCAAGAGAGGCAATAGCAGCGCTTTCGGCCCGTAGAACCCCCATGGAAGCGCGAGCTGGGCAGCGGCGCCCGCCTCTCGGGCAGCGCGTCTAAATCGAAGCATTCGAGGCCGCGCCCGTCTTTCCCGCCCGCGGCCCGCGGCGCGACGGCCGCGCCAGGCCGCAGAAATTGCGGGCGGGGCCGCGGCGGCAGAGAGCTCCGCGGGCGCGCGCCCGGGGCGGCCGCCTCGACATCGGCGCTTCAGCGCGCGCGGGCGCGCGCGCCAACTGCAACTGGCGGGCGCGCGCGCGCAGGAACTGCGCGCGGCCATGGCGCGCGGAGGGGCGCCTCGCCAAGCCCGCGCCCCACCACGCGCTGCGACGCAACGGGCGGCCCCCCCGCCTTTGCGCGCCGCGCCGCGGCGCGCGATTGCGCGGGCATCTATCGCGGAGGCATGGCGGCCGCACGAAAACTTCTCAGCGATCTCGGGGGGCCGCGGCGGGCGCCCCTGCACCGTGCCCCCCGCCGCCCCAGTCCGGGCGACCCAAACGTTCAAGGACCTAGCGGGCCACGCTACCCGTGGAGCGCGGCGCCCGCGGAGCGCGCCGCCCGCAACGCGCCCGCCAGGCGCGGCCCCCCCGAGGGCCGCGCGGCGCCCGCCAGGCTGGCGAGGGCAAGGGCGCATACCAGGGGACTTCGCCGAAGCTGGCGCGAAACGCATCGCGACGCGTTCGCGCGCGCGCCTGGGCAGACGCCCGATCGCCCGCCTGGAGTGCCTGGGGCCCCCCCGGGCATTCCCTGAAGTACCGTCGCCGCATCCGATCCCTGTCGGACATTCCCACAGCAGCCGCAGGTAATGTCACGGGACATCGCGCCCCTCGGAAACACGCCCTAGGGGATCTCCAGGGAATCTCCCGGATAATTTCCCGGAAAATCTTGCCCCTCGGACATCTCCGTGGAAATCTCCCGGGAAATCTTGCCCCTTCGGAAATCTCCGAAAGAATCTCCCGGAAAATCTTGCCCCCCAGAACTCCCCCTGCAAATGCGCTCGGGGATTCATTGTTTTCGATTTTTTGCTTCCAAGCAAAAAATGCGCCCCTCGCAGAAACCTCCGGCATTTCCCCGGGAAATCCCCCTCACGCGCATCGCCTAAAAATCCCCAGCACATCCCGCATGCCCGAAAAACGATCCCAGCAATCCCAAGAAAATCGCCCGGGAAATCTCACAGAAAATTGTGCCCCTCGGAAATCTCCATGGAAATATCCCGGGAAATCTCGCCCCTCGGCAATCTCCGTCGAACTCTCCCGGGAAATCGCGCCCCTCGAGCATCCCCATGGAAATGGAAGACACACCCTGGAAATCTCATGGAAAATGTCCCGGGAAATCTTGCCCCTTCGGAAATCTCAATGGAAATCCCCCGGGAAATCTTACCCCCCGGAAATCTCCGTGGAAATCGCCCGGAAAATCTCCCCCCTCGGGAGTCTCATTGGAAATGTGACAGGAAACACGCCGTTGTCTCCCATGGGAAATCTCAATGGAAAATCCCCTGGGGAAGCCGCCCGAAAATCGCACCCCTTCGGATGCCTCCACGGGCAGCCTCCTGGGGCAATTCCGACCTCGATGCGGAAATCCCAAAAGAATCCCCCCCGGACCCCCGCGAGCCCCCCCGAACAAAAACTAGACCTGGCGAACTTCATCCAATGAGTCGGGCCCTGCGAAAGACGCCCCCTGGTAAAGTTGAAAACCCAATGGCCAAAACCCCACGTAAAATCCCACCAGCCCTCTGGGCGTAAGTGGTTTAGGGGATTTCCTCTTCCATCTTCCCTCCTTCCCCTTCGGGGAAGGGTTCGCCCCTCCCCCTAACCCCCTCCCCTGGACTTGGACGGGGGGGCCCGCTGGCAGTTAGAGCGCCCAAAACGGCTTCGGCGAGGAAGCCCAAATCATCGGTTTTACTACAAGGTTTTGGCCCCATTGTGGCCCTCTGGGGGGGCAAGGCTAATTAACCCCACCCTCTTATTGGATCGATCTCTCCAAGATGGCCCCAAGAGGCGCCCAGGAGGCCCCAAGAAGCTTCCAAAACGCCTCCTAGAGGCCCCAAGAGGCCGCCATGAGGCCCCAAGAAGCCCCCAAGAGGTTCCAAGACGCCCCCAGGATGGATCCAAGAGGCCTCCAAGAGGCTCCAAGAGGCCGCCATGAAGCTCCAAGAGACCCCCAAGAGGCCCCAAGAGGCCTCCAACAGGCCCCCAAGAACCCCCCAAGAAGACCCCAAGCGGCCTC